AAAGTTTGTTATCGCTATTTCTCAAGAATTACCAGAGGGATCTTTCTCAAAGTTTGTATGTAGGTTCCCCTCGGTCCTAAGCTGTGCAGGGCAACTTGAGACTGATCAGATAAACAACATGGCCGACAGGCAGCCATCTTGGATTTTGATAGTGAAAGTTTGTTATCGCTATTTCGCAAGAAGTACGCAAGGGATTTTTCTCAAATTTTATGTGTAGGTTTCCCTTGGTCCTTTGCTGTGCAGGGCAATTTTTGGGACTGATCGGATAAACAACATGGCCGACAGGCAGCCATCTTGGATTATGACAGTGAAAGTTTGTTATCGATATTTCTCAGGAATTACCAGAGGGATCTTTATCAAAGTTTGTATGTAGGTAACCCTTGGTCCTTAGCTGTGCAGGGCAACTATTGGGACTGATCAGATAAACAACATGGCGTACAGGCAGCCATCTTGGATTTTGATAGTGAAAGTTTGTTATCGCTATTTCTCAAGAATTACCAGAGGGATCTTTATCAAAGTTTGTATGTAGGTTACCCTTAGTCCTAAGCTGTGCATGGCAGCTATTGGGACTGATCAAATAAACAACATGGCCGACAGGCAGCCATCTTGGATTTTGATAGTGAAAGTTTGTTATCGGTATTTCGCAAGAAGTACCAGAGGGATATTTCTCTAATTTTAAATGTTGGTTCCCCTTAGTCCATAGCTGTGCAGGGCAACTTTTGAGACTGATCGAATTAATAACATGGCCAACAGGCAGCCATCTTGGATTTTGTTAGCGAAAGTTTGTTATCGCTATTTCTCAAGAAGTACCAGAGGGAAGTATGGGAGGGATCTTTCTCAAATTTTTAATGTAGGTTCCCCTTGATCCCTCGTTGTGCATGTTATATTTTGAGACTGATCATAAAAACAAAATGGAATAAAAGAAGAACTAAACAGATCTTTCTCATATTGCAATGATCGATTCTAATTCTTTCACATTAAGTACTGTACTAGTAAAAGTGTGAAATGACAAACTCGCTTGGAAGGTTGGCTTTCATACACATCAGATTTAAGTTTAGATCAAAAGTTACCTCACTGTGCATTTACTATTAACATTACTAGATCAAACAGATTAGAGGAAAGAAGGGAAAAGATCGAACTGACAAAGAACTAATGAAGATGATCAAAGGTGGGCGCCAAGATCCCTCTGGGATCTCTTGTTTTATTTAATAGTAGGACTTTTATACCTTCGGATGTACTTTCGACCAAATGTATAACGATACAACGACGATCATCATTTTGACATAATCAACTCGTTTATCTATTTTTATCTGGAAAAATTGAAGGGTCACGTTTGGTTTTATTATCCATGGATATCATGACGTAAGTATGAGCACATGTATCATGCTATCGGTATGTCAACACTGTATACCTTTTGTATTTAATAGGTTGACTCTCATTTGACTGGCAAAGTTTGTTGTTGGATTACGAGATTCAGAAAATTTAGATTGCATATAGAAAATACAAGGTTTTTATGATGATGTTGAGGTAAGTTGGAATAACTTTTTTTTTTAGTTATTACAATTTATGAATCTAATGGTCTGCTAAGTGTTCACAATAACCATATTTCGAACATCTCCTGATTATTAGGTTAACTTTGCCAAAAAGTAGTGACCCATTCCAATCATCTCTCTTCCAGCGTCCGTAAAAGTTCAACTTTTTGAACTTCTTCCAAATAACCAGCGGATGGATTTTTGTTTAACCTTTGTGAGAAGCATCCTTGGTAGAAGAAGGTAAACAAAAATGTGCTTAGGACTCCTGCTTTTGGTTTCTAGGGTCAAGGGCGGGGACAAAATGGGAAAATTAACTAGTTCTTCAAAAATCTTCTTTTCTGGACTCGGATGTAATTTCTCTGCATGAATTGAAAGATCATCAGGGGGTTTATTTAAATTGTAATTGTCAATGCCCCAGGCCATATGTCTCCCATGGGGTGGGGTTATGATTTTAATAGCTCACCTGGTCCAAAGGACTAGTTGAGCTTATGCCATACCGTGGCGTCCGTCGTCCGTACGGCAACAGTTAATTTAAAAGACTTCTTCTTAACCACTGATTGGAATATAAATTTGAAGCATCCCTAGGTGGTGGGGATTCGAAATTGTACAAATGGTGGGGCTGATCCCCCAGGGGGCTGATGGGCGATGCCAGAAGGGGGCAATTTCGCTATATTGCTTTAAGCGACTTCTTCTCTGGAACTGAGTGATGGAAATCAACCATAGTTGACTGGAAGCATCCCTAAGTGGTTGAGATTTAAAATTGTTCTAGTGGGCGGGGGCCGAACATTTGGCTATATTGCTACAAACGACTTTTCTGTATAACAATGCCCTGGATATCAATTATTTTGATCAAAAGCATTTTTGTGAGGCAGGGATTCAAAATTGTACAAATGGTATAGCTGACCCCTCAAGGGGCTGAGGGCGTGGCCAAAAGGGGGCAATTTGGCTATATTGCTATAAACGACTTCTTTTGTAGAGTTATGCCATGGATACCGATAATATTTAGTTGGAAGCATTCATTGGAAAATATTCTTACTTGGTGAGAATTTTCCTTAGAGGAGGATGGTTAAAATTGTAAAATTGGGAATCCTTCCCCAACCTTAGGGGCCAAGGCGGGGCCCCAAAGAGAAAATTAACCAATAATTCAAAAAATTTCTTCTCCAATCTCGGAGGTACTACATTCATTTTCTCTGCATGGAAAGAAAGATCATCAGGGGCTTTACTTTAAACTGTTAATTTCAGGACCACCGAGCTATCCGTTCTTCCTTAAGGAGGGGGTAAAGTTTACTATAGTGTATATAGGGAAATAACACTTTTGGGTATATTTTGACACCTTTCTGTAGGAAATTATTTTTAATTGGTGAGAATTATCCTTGGAGGAAGATGATTTTAAATAGTATAATTGAGATTCCTACCCCAACCCCTGGGGCCAGGGCGGGGCCCTAAAGGGTAAATTAACCAATATTTCAAAAATCTTCTCCTCCAGACCCAGAGGTACTACATTCATTTTCTCTGCATGGAAAGAAAATCATCAGGGGCTTTATTTAGATTGTAAATTTCAGAACCCCCGAGCTATCCGTTCTCTCTTGGGGAGGGGGTAAAGTTCACTATAGTTAATTTAGGGTAATAACACATTTGGGTATGTTTTATCCATTTGCGGCAGAAAATTACTCAAACTTAGTCAGAATCATCTTTGGTGAATGAGGGTATTACATTGTAAAACTGGGATTCCTGCCCCATCCTCAAGGGCGAGGGCGGGGCCCACAACATTTACCAATATTTTCAAATTCTTATCCTTTGATGAAATGACAAGTATTGTATTTCGCTTAGTTTACATGCCGATTTCCACATCACAATCATCTAAACAATAAAATAAAGCTACCGGTACCTATGATATAACTCAGGTGACCGCTAAGGCCCTTGGGCCTCTTGTTTGGGTAGCGTTCCACTCAGCTAGTAGCCTACCAAAGCCTTTCCCAGCTTCTGGAGCATTCTTGGCCGAATATTTCTGGCAGAGAGAGCTGTCCCACACATGCTCGATGGATATCTAGATCCGGCGAGCGGGCTGGCCAATCCATTCGTTGAATAATCTCTTGCTGTAGATACTGCTCAGCCACCCTTGCTCTATGTGTACTAGCATTATCGTCCATAAGTATGAAGTCAGGGCCGATAACGCCAGCATAGGGACCAACATAGGCATCAATGGTTGTATCGCAGTAAATCCGGGCCGTAACGGTACCATTATGGAAGACATGGAGGTCATTTTCCCCCCATTTTCTAACATGTAACGGGGTGGCTACCGAGGTTAAGTTTTTGGGCAAGTTTTTACCCAGACAATGTTGGATCATTACACTTAATACACAGTTATGAGTTATAAGTAATTTATATCGAGTATAAGTAATGTGCTGGACAATATTTATAAATTTCAGGGGCCAAAGATATGTTAAGGTACAGGAAAATCTAAAGAAAAACATAACTAAGGGACCTGAAAATATGAAGGCTATAAGTAAGATGGCAAATGAAATGACGGGCATTTTATCGAGGTTTTACTGTACACTGGTTTGTATTAATATTTGTAATTTTAAGACATATGGCGAGCAATGCTGTTCCCCAACAGCTCTTGTTTTGTAAGGATACCCCCTCACTCAACCTGGTGTTATCAGTAGTAATAAAGAATATTTTTATATGCGAAGTGTGTTCATTTTTATGTATCTACATATGGTTAAAACATAAGAAATTTAACCGGGGGCCGAATGCTGACACCACCTTCACCATTTTCAGTTTTTCATAACCGGATCCGTAAAAGCTAACATTTATTTTTGTTTTAAATTCATGATTTTAGAACCATCCCCCAACGGCAGCAATCAAGAGAGAACAGAGAGGGTGCTGGAACAAGTTCATATCAATCTCTGCGTTTGGCTATCACTTACGGTAAGTGGAAAAAAACATACAAATACCTCTAATTTCAGTACAGAACAAAACAGGAGAATATTCGTCTTATCAAGTAGTATTTCGATCACCAAAAAAATGAAACTATGGCAAAAAAACATCAAAATGGTAATCAACACATTTCCTTGAACAAGTGGGTCAGTCGGACTGCTTTACTCACATTGTATGAACCTTAAATGTGGTACAACGTAAACTATTTAAAAAATAAACTTCTACCAAAGGTTCCGAGTAATGATATCTAATTAGAAGTAAGCTTTGATGTATGACTACCAAGTTTATTCCATTTTTGGTCAAATGTGCTAATTGGTTGATTGTTTGTTTTTTTGTAATGATTAATGGCCCATCGACAATGCAAGTCATTTTAGGCTAACAATACTGTTAAAAGAGACATTCACGAAAATAAACACATCAAACCAAAACTTATTGGCCAAAAAATATGTAAAGGATTAAAGAAATACATCAATATCGAATAAATTGGCTTCACAATGTATGATATTTTATTGTAAAGATCAATAGAGTGTATATAGTCAAATATTAATTGCACAGAAACTGTATCGAATAATCTTTTCATAGACGGTACATCATAAAATCTGTCTCGTATTTGTTCGAAATCAGCACATTCAATCATAAAGTGCTTGACTGTAAATGGTTGTAAATTTTCCTTTAGCAAAATGTAACCATGTGTGATGTAGGTATGGCCTATGCGCAGTCGCAGTAGGATAATTTCCACTCTGCAGTCTGTTCTACTTGTTGCACATTAACCCACATTAGGTTGATTGAATAGCAAATAACTTACTGTTTAATTCTTCTTTCGGTTATAGGTTACGGGCTGCTTTAGCAGCTTTATCTACATTCTCGTTTCCGTTTATTCCGACATGAACTGGTATCCAAATCAAGAACAGGTGGTAAAACAATAAAATTCTGTTAATGCGAAGGGTGATTTTTTGTATGAGAATATTATTCAAATTCCGATTTTTAATACTTTGCAATAGTGACTATTGCTTTGCTATTTTTATTATTTTCAATTTCATCCAAAGCCAGACCAATGGCAGTAGCTTCAGCTGTAAAAATAGATGCATTATGTGGTAATCGGCAGGAAAAAGATACGTTGCCGACAACACACGCTGCTGCAACTTTACTTTCGAATTTAGAGCCGTCCGTATATAAAAGTTTATGTAAAGGAAATCCCGAGATTAACACGGTAAAAGCGCTCTTGTAGAATTTCTGGTATTATAGCATTTTTGATTAATGACAGGTCTAAATCCGAATTTTCCAGTAGTTTTTGAAGTCGTATTTCAAAACACAGGATCATTTTCTCATTTCGTTCGAAAAGCTGTGTATACTTTTGATAAAATACTGATTGGGAAGCTGGATTTTATGGATTTGAGTTTAACTGGTTAGCACACTGTTTACATAATTTTGTTCTTCTATCACTAAGTGACGGTTCATTTGCTTCAACGCATAGGCTGGCGGCTAGTGATGTACGAAAAGAATCTAAAACGACACAAAGCCCCTGATGATGAACTGGGTCAAACATCTGCAAATATGACTAGCGGGCTGACCCATATATAATGGAACCATAGTTAAGCTTGAAATGAACAATTGAGCGATAAAGACGCAGCAACACATCACGGTCAGCTCCCCAATCTGCATGGGATAGTACTTTTAGAATACTGAAAGCGTTTGAGCATTTATGTTTTGAATATTTGATAAGAGGTAAAAATTATCATTTTGAGTCGAAAAAGATTTGAAGAAATTTTGTTTGTTGAACAACTTGAATAATAGGATTATTAGAGTTAGACCTGGATCATTGTGTAATTTTCGGAGTTTGCAGAAATGCATGCATACCGTTTTTAGGTCACCTGCCCGAAGGGCAAGTGAGCTTATGTCATGGTGCGGCGTCCGTCTTTCCGGCGTCAACTTTTTACTTAAACAACTTCTATTCAGTAACCAAAAGGCCTAGGATAATGATATTTGGCCAGTAACATGCTGGGATGAAGGGTAACCAAGTTTGTTCAAACAAATGACCTTCTCCCATTTCCAAGGTCACAGGGGTCAACTATGTTTAAAACCTTTAAAACAACTTCTTCTCAATAACCAAACAGCCTTGGATGATGATATTTGGCCAGTAGCATCCTGAATCAAGGGCTACCAAGTTTGTTCAAATGAATGACCTTCATCCATTTTCAAGGTCACAGGGGTCAAATATGTTTAAAACTTTTAAACAAATTCTTCTGAACTACCCAGAAGCATAGGGTTATATATTTTACCAGTTAGATGCTTGGATGAGGGCTACCAAATATGTTCAAATGAATTAACTTTGCTCATATCCAAGGTCACAGGGGTCAAATATGTTAAAATCTTTGAACGACTTCTACTTAACAAAGAGGCCTAGAGTTATGATATTTGGCCTTTAGCATGATGGGATGAAGGGCTACCAAGTTTTTTCAAACAAATGTTTGAAATCATTATAAACGACCTCTTCTCAATAAGCAAAAGGCTAAGGGTGATTTTGGCCATTAACATGCTGGGATTAAGTACTACCTGGGTTTTTTTCAAATGAATGACCTTCGTCCATATGCAAGGTTACAGTGGCTAATATATGTTTAAATCTTTAAATGACTTGTTCTGTATAACCAGGTCCAGGGTAATGAAATTTTGCCTGAAGAATGTTTGGTTGGACGACTATAAACTCTGTTCAACCTTATGTCCTTGTTCGACATTCAAGGTCACAGGCGTCATATGTTTAAACCTTTAATAGGTTCTTATGAGTCAAACACTGATATTCTGCCTGTAGCTGTATTTTAGTCCACTTTAAAAATGATTTGTGAGAGTAGTACCAGGTTAAGGAAATCATCGACAAAAAGCGATCCTTTGGTCGACGGCCCAAGACATTTAACTATGCTATAATTAGCCGAAATATTGTTATTATTTGAAATAAGCTGTAAGGAGTCTACGTTGGTTCTCCGTCCACTAATTTTCCTGATCATGTTCAAAACTTTTTTTGGTGTTGTTTTGAAAGAGAGTTTGGACACTCGCCAAGTGTTTCCTTTATGAAACGGCGAACTTTTGCCCTAAGGATATTATAAGCATTAAAGTTTTGGTTGGGAGAAATGTTTAAACTTTCTAAGAACAGTAGTTTCTTCTTGAAATGGCGTTAACACATTCTGCATTAATCCAGAACTTAGAGGGTTTGGATTTTATCGTAGATTTGGGAATACTTTGATCGGCATTGTTCAAAAGAACTTCGGTAAATATTTTAATAGGATCATCAATGTTTTCTAATTTGTTCTTTTTAAACTGGTTGTGCAAAGTATTTTAAAAAGATTCCAATCTGCTTTGTATAAATTCCAGCTTGCAGTGATGTCATCGAAAGGAGAACCAATACTCATAAGAAATATTGGTTCGTTAAACATTCTCTATAACCAAAAGGCCAAAAAACGATATTTGGCAATCAGCCGACCTTGTTTCATAAACTCTGGTCAATCCGGTTCAACTGTTTGGATCGCGATCAACAAAACCGGCCCTGATTTCTGTTAAGGGCCCGCTATCTGCTGATGTTCAGTAATGCTGAATTCAAATGATTGATCGCTCCCTCATTTTCCTGTTCCTGATGAAGTAGAAAAAAGTTGAATTTCCAATAATTTACACCTGCAATATTTTTTTTTCACAGAAACAACGCCAGAAAGTTCAGTAGAAAGCCTTGTTTCTACAGTATGTATATTGTATATTGTATCACCTTTACCTGCTTCTGGCACACACACACACAAGTACGCATACACAACACACATAAAGGCACGTCCTTTAATGGTACCAAATGTTAATAGTACGTAAAACAAAACAAAACACAAAACAAAACCAATCCACAATATATGGGATTCCTGCTTTTTTATATTCACCTGACCCCAAATACTGTAGCACTACATATCTAAACTTTATGCATTTTAGCTCACATGGTTTCTTAGTCGCCTCTAATGAGCGTGCAGTGAGTAATAGCAGGGGTGAATGTATGAATGACCCGTCATGAGAAAAGGTTTAATATGGTTTTCAACGCATTTATAATCACCAATAAGATATTAATTTGTGTATTTAAACATTTAGACGTACAACGGTAAAACACGGCGTTATGGGAGTGCCCTGGATTCAGACTCTAAAGCATCAAGTCCATCGCAATACGGTAAAGTACATGTACTATAATATTAAATTTTATTTTTTTACTACTGGATTGCAATATACTGTCCTTTTTTGTATCATTAGAATTGATGCAATATATATTTTTTAGGCACCGCTTGATTATAAATTGTGATTATATCAATACAGAGTGTTCGTACACAATTTTGGAATACGAAGTCTCCAGACAGGACTATGGACGTTTGGACTACAATGCTGAGATTGCACTAAGAATACACTCTCAACTGCCGAATGCGGATCTAAATGAACCAGACATCATCAGATTAAATTGCTTTACTTTCCTGGTATTGATACCGAAAACAAGCGAATATGATGCACTAATCGAGAGCGAACGTGTGACGGACATTACGAAAGGTAGGCTATATCAATTAAATATAACGTGTTATAATACGTTTTGTGCTGATAATTGTACAAAACGAGATTGATATCAGTCATCGGTATACGTGACAGGGCGGAATATGGGCATAGTATTTCAGTGAGGTAGCACTCTTTAAGTTGGCATCAGACCCGCGCTATCGCAAGGACGCAAGCAAGTACACAAAACAAATACACACCACAAATGGCTGTTTATAGGACGTTTAAACATGTCAATGCAGATGAATTGCATGTTCCCCGGATACCTTTCAAAGGAATTGTTATGAATTGCTGTATCGAATTTCAAAGATGGAATTTCTCAAAAATAATCATGCCAATAAACCAACGTTAGTCAGTATGGGGACATCTTTAGCAATGCTTTCATGGCAGTCATTGAAAGGGTTTTATACCCGGTTTGGTTTGGTTTAGTATTGTTTAACGTCCTATCAACAGCAATGGTCATTGAAGGATGGCCTCCCCTGTCCGCGATATGCATGCGTGTAGCGAATGCATGTGTGTTTTGGGAGGCTGCGATATGTTCGTGTTTGTCTCCTTGTGATAGCGCGGAACTGATGCCGACTTTATATTTCTACCTCACTGGAACTAACGTCCTCTCAATAGCTATTGTAATTTAAGGTCGGCCTCCCCTGTGTCCAAGATGCATGCATTTAGTGTATACGTGTGTGTTTGAAGACACCCAGCAGGACACCTCTGCCGGTCACAGTATACTGACAGCGGGCGAACCAGTCGTCCCATTCCTAAATTGGTGAGCGTTAAGCAGGAGTAGAAAGTACCATTTTTACCGACTCTGGTATGTCTCGGCCAGGCCAGAGAACACAACGCCTTCCTCACAGGGGTGAACGCTCAACTAAAGGCCAAATTTGAGGCATTGTCAAGGGAGACATTAGGAAGAAGAAAGTTTAGAAAGAAGAGAAAAGATAAGATCCCAAATTTTGTCGCCTCTTTCGATCATGCAATGGTGGTAGTAGGTACAATTCTTACGCCCTACCTGACCGGATTTTTGTACCCGGGATCTTTCAATGTTCAGACTGTCAGGGTATGTTTTCGATTCGACGAAAGGTTTACTGACTTGGTACTGAAACCAAATATTTGGCTAACTTGACGCTGTGATACACCCGAATAAGGAGAATAATGCCAACAGCCTGCATTATTTGCAAAAACCCATTAGCCTGTCTTTGGCCCCAATAGACGTTCATGCTCGAATTGTTTATTGAGTTATTGAGTCACTCATTAATGATCCAACCGATATATTGTCTGCTAGGAAAGGTGTTAACCTTTCGTTATTTTGCTGAGTTTCTTGTATTTACTGCATATGTGATGTTGCTTTATTATAAGCAGTTAATAAATTATTTTTATGGCAGAATGGCAAGTAAAAGAAAAGGAACAGAGGAGATGGATTGTCCTGTTCCCGAAGAAGGATACACCCATCGAGGTAAAGAGTGATTTATTTCGCACGAACAAAGATAACACATTCTTATGGTAACGGGGATAGTTATGTAAGTCAACCATTCATTGGTCAGGCGTCAACATTTTCCTTTAAACGGCTTTTTGTGAATAATCAAAAGGCCTAGAGTTATTGGATTTGGTCAGTAGATCATAAAGTCTGTACAAATATCATGGCACATATTCAATGTCACAGCGGTCAAAAGTACCTTTGTTAAAAACTTCATATGAATTCTTCTAAATAACTGTAACGGTTCACGTCCTTCGTCCTCCACCGTTGTCTTTCCGGGTTCTAGCGTAAAGTGACGTTTGATATCTTTAGTCTGTAGTGCGACAAAATACCCAACACTATACTGATCGTTTCCAACATTTATTAGCACAGGCAATATTTACAACAACGTTTAGGAATAGTGCCACCTATTATGTGGGTACCCAATAACATTCGCGCCGGCGTTAACCTCATAATAGTGACTTTCACTCGGTGCCACGAGGAGGATCCAACCAGAGGCTCTGGTGTTCCCAAACGCCCCTGCGGCGTACTTGGCGACAACCAGTGCCCAACCGCCGACGTCAACCCTCTGCTGTTCTGGTCCGGTTGTTTTCCTCACTTCACCGAGTGTTTAGCTCTATTGTCTCGCTCACCTGAATATGACCCGCTGGTCGCTGGTTTGCACTGCGACAGTGAGACCGGCTGACGGCCAGCGGTATATATACGCATGAATGAGCCCACATGTTAAGACGCAATCCTTTACACGTAACAACACACATTTGGTACAAATACAGGTAAAAACTAGCATACATTACATAACCAAAAGGCCTAGGGTAATAATATTTTTCCAGTAATATGCTGAAATGAAGGCTATAACGTTTGTTCCTATGTATGTTCTTGACATATATTCTAGGTCATCAGGGCCAATTTCGTTAAACACTTTTGAATATATGAGCGTATGCCGTACTGCGGCGTCCGTCGTCTGTCCGTCAACTTTTTCTTTTGAACGACTTCTTCTGAAGAACTGTAGGACCTAGGGTCATGATATTTTTGGTCAGTAGGTACCTTGGATGGAGTGCTATAAAGTGTCGTCTGTAAAATGACCTTGACCGACTATCAAGGTCATAGGGGTCAACTATGTTAAAAAGTTCAAACAACAATATCCTAAGAACCATTTGGACTAGAGTAATGATACTTGGGTATGTTATGTGGACCAGCAGTGCGAATCTTTTCCTTTATTACAGTAATGATGTCAAATGTCAAGTAATAGCCGGAGTCAAAGGTCAAATTTGGATAAAAGCTTTAAAATTAAAATTTTAAATTTCAAACAATAATATCTTAAGAAGCGTTTAAGAGATGTTAAAATGTATTATGTTCTAGTTACCAAAAAAAGTCTGAAGTCAAGTTTCATGTAAAAAATAAACAGGTTAGCGATACAGGCCCTCTGGGCCTCTTGTTTTGCTTAACGTCCTATTAACTGCTAAGGTCATTTAAGGGCTTGCCTCCATGTGTGTTGTGTGTGAGGGGATGTGTGTACGTGTGCCTTAGCAACTGTTCATAGGACGTTCAACTGCTATAAAACGTCCCACTTTGTGGCGATTGTTGATAAGTTACCAATTTTTGCTCAAGGACATTTTCCTGAAGCTCATAAAAACCTTTTAATACTAGTAATTGGAAGCATTTGTCCATTACCATTCAATTAAAACCTAACAACTATTTTTTCCCATAATTTTCATCGACAGATTACGAAGGAAGAAAATGTGCTTTATCTTACGGAAAACCCTGTCAAAAACTTGAACAACAATTCAGATGTTTGCAGATTCCTCACGTTTTCCTTTGAAAACGAAATATTTGCTTACGCTGAACGAGCTTTACGGTATGTCCAAGACCGACTTGCAAAGAAAAGGGAACACGAACAAGAGACGTTGAGCTTTACCAACATGGAGATTCGTTCTCTTCTTACTAGAAAATTACCAGAACACGACACATTTGCTTCTTTTACAATACCCGAAGAGTCGTAAGTATATTCTATCATTGTGTTTATCTCATAGCAGAACTATCAATCAATCTCCCGTTAGCTTAGAGAATAAATGTTAAACCAAAATCAGATTTTCTAACGATACCAAGAAAATTTTCTCATTTTAAACAACATGCAGGGTTTATGACTGAAAATGCCAAATGGATAAATTTATTGAAATATGTGAATTTAAATAAATTTTCTTAACAATTGTGGGCAAAATGCCATTAACCTTTAATATTATTTTTTCTCATTCAAAAGAAGTTGTTTGCATCTTTTTACATGTTTCACTTCGGCAACCTTAAAAGTAGGTAAAAGATTATTCACTTAATGAGTATATGACCGCCTTAAACTCCAGCATACTCCACCCAGTATAATTATCATGACGTTAAAAATTGTTTAAAAAGAAACCAGAATCTTATAGATATCGCTTGCCACTCAACAGAAGTTTAATTTAGTTTAAACTCATTTTATTGTAAGTCATTACATATAGATTCAGTTCGGAGAAAGACAACACCTGCTGTATCCAACTATTTGAAGTAAAAGGCTAATGAAGTGCCCCGTGCAGAATCGGGGTTTTTCTTCTGCTAAAGGGGACATTGAATAAACCACATACCTGTATGTTTAGCCCACCTGGCCCGAAGGCAAAGTGGGCTTGTGCCGCAGTGCAACGTCCACGTGTCCGTCCGTCCACCTGGCGTCAACTGTTTTTTTACCAGGCGATGATATTTTGTCAGTGGGATATATTGTCAAGTCATTAAAAATGGTAGATGTTATTTCGTGTTTAACGTTCAGCATTAGGGGTAATAGAAACAACTGGTTCACCCGTTGTCAGTGTAATGTGACCGGGCGGAATGTGTGCTAGATGCCTTGGTATGGTATTTTAGTGAGGAAGCACTATAACATCGGCATCAGATCCGTGCTATCGCAAGGAGGCAAATACACCAACATACCCTACATCATGCACATGCACGCATACATAACACAAATAGAAGCACGTCCTTGAATTACTATAGCTATATATTGAAAGGACGTTAAACTATATCAAACCATCCCTATTCTCACCTGAGCGAATGCTCAACATTGAAGCAAGGCGAAAGAAAATAATAGGTAGAGAAATATCAACTTGAAAATGTGTGCAACAGATTTCTTTTGGTCACATTTTCATCCAAAAGTAGAGGGCACAATTGCAAATCCGCAATTATGCAGGGGTTCCCTCATCAGACACCTCTTACGATCCATGTCAAGGAAATGTTCTGAGTAATATTGATATAAGACCAACTCGCACACAAATTGAGTAAACAAGCATTAAATATACATATAACAAGATTTATTCACAAAAGTGAAAAAATAACATGGCACATTTATACACATTCGAACCCCTTCGCTCCTCAATGTCTCAAATTTCATCCGGTTCTCACAAACCGAACAAGAATACACCTGGCATATGACAATCAATGCCATGTAGATTCAGTATGAACACACAGTTCTAGATATTCATTGCCCTAACATTACAATATTTCAGGGCTAATTCCACTGTATCAAACACAAAGTTCTTAACCAGCATACATTAAGCTTCGAACACATCTTTTTTATGTTTACATAATATAACCCAAGTTTTTTGGAACACAAAATTCAAAACTAAACCTCATAACAACTGTCATTATGACCAGGAACACAAAGTTCAACATTAAACAGTCACAATACACGACATCACCAAACCCACAGGCTGTAATAGGGCTTTAGAGTAGGTAAAATTCATCAAACGTCCACTCATATCATGTCCAATGATCAGCTGACCCTCGTCGACGTCAGCGAGACGTTTCACCGGAAGTGACATTGACCTGTCCCTCCATTAATAACACTGGTCCCTTTGGTACCCCATGGATGGTAGTTTTCTATTCATACCCTCTAGGCTGGTACTGTTTTTCAATTCCTCAAATAGGTGTAATTCCTGCCCCGTACATTACAGGTTTCCACCCCGAACACACAGGTGTTTTGTTATGGCCCAACATCGGCCTCTCTTCACTTGACAGTTACCAAAGATGATGTCTGTCAACAGGCAAACATCTCTACCACAAGTTTACAACATTGTGAAATGTTAACGCCCATATAAACAGCACCAGCAAGCCATTTTCCACACGACGGCTCACACCGCCTCACAGTGTCTGCGAAGATGGCAGACAGCAACCTCCCCACATGGAACTCGCTCGCTCTCTGATTGGTCAATAGCACCGAATCCTAGCAATTTGATTGGATAATCAAAATAACAACTTTGTTACGTAATAACCGGTGATAGAGAAAATAACTACCGTATTTACCCATATAAAGATACCATATTTACACCTGTCAAATACCAATCTTGACAATCCATTTAGTAGGTAACAACAGGTTTATTATTATCTCGGCCAGAACTGACAGGTGGAACATGAATGTGAAACAATATTGTTGAAATTCATTATGTTAACTACTAAAACAGTCCTGTTGTAAAATATTAACATTAAATTATTAGTTTATTAAACTCTTTTTCAGGATCGAAAACGGCGAATTGCAGCGCCCCTCTTATCGGCTTTTATCGGAGGCACTTCAAAATATAAGGTAAATTAATTCTTAATCCAAACTTAACAGCATTGTTTAATTGTGCTTATTAATCATGAGATTGGGGGCTGATCAAATTTTCCGCCGACCGTAGTCTGTCGTCCGTCTAGCCTTAAACTATTCGTGTTATCAGTAATTCTTGAAACGTACTTACTGTTATAGGTTTCATATGAAGGTTTCAATGAGTAGAGGCACGGTAGTCTAGTGGTAGGACGCCGGGCTTGTGGCCGAAGGGTTTCAAGTCACGGCACGGCACTGTATTGTATCTTTGAGCAAGATATTTTACTCCGCTTGTTCCGGTCTACTCAGCTGTAAACGAATACGTGTTTAGGCAGTGCTGGAATTGTTGAATGCTAGCTGTGATCGCCGAAATGGCAGAACCGGCTGTATGCTCCCCAGGGAGTTGAGAAAGCTATTGGCTGGTTGCAAAGGCCCTATAACCACGGATAATGTTTTTTTGCCGAAGGCACTCAGCAGTTTCTATAATGGCTTCGATTTGGTTGAAGCATTTTGAAGAAAGCCTAAAGCGTTTTACTTAAAACTTGCACACATTTCCTATAAGGTCTCCAGCAATTGCACTTTCCGTGACAATCTTTAAATCCAAAATGTCCACCTTTGCGTCTGATTATCCGATTATCCGTGACACTTTGACTGTTTTAAAAGAACTGCTGCATCAATTTACTCACAATTTAGTTAAATGATTAAATGATGTCCCAATCAAATCCTTAAATGTTAAAAGGACGTTAAACAAAATGAAACCAAACTGAATTCCAATCAAGTGTTAGTACTTTGGGTGCGAGATGACCACTGTTGCCTTTGATTGGCTGAGGTATATTCGATTTAAAATCATGTGAGCGTTTAGGCCTATCTTAATTCATTTGCTCTTTAAGGTATATTGCACTACCTACAGAGTTATACTAAACACAATCAAATTTAAATTGTCAGTAAGTATAGCCTTTGCTTTTTGTTTAGTGTGCAGGATTGTGATATCCGGGGCTTTTGCAACACTTTTGACGCGTTCCTGGTTTTCGTAGCCGAACTCAAACAAAGTGCCGACAAGACAGGCGTTGTGGATTGTATCGAAAAGTGCTTGCATGAACTGCTAAAAGAGAAACCACAAATAGTCTGGGTTGAAAAAATAACAACGGCTGACCTAACTGCTCAAGGTTTTAAACTTACAAACACAGAATCAAAGCGATGGGGAACCCTAGGCTGTTTCGGCAAAAACGCTGACAATTCGTTGGTAGCAATAACCGCTGGGCATTGTGTAGAGACAGAACAAACAGTCCACATAGAAATCAACGGCACTCTGGAGGAATTGGGGCAGTGTGTACAAAGTCATAATTCGGCTGAAGTTGACATTGCGGTCATCAACATTAACGATTGTATGGAACCTCGTTGCACCTTTCAGTTTTGTAATGAAAAGGACAAAGTCTGCAAGGCGTCCGTATATCAGGGGGCTCAAATCAAGAATTGGCCGGTGCATAAAAAAGGAGCTGCAACTCAATGGACCAAGGGCGTTGTATACTGCGAGGAGGCTTGCGTGTGTAACGAAAAAGGAATTATCATCAATGGAAACGTGAACAACATTGTCTTCGCAGAGGAGGGCGACAGTGGAGCTATCGTGTTCTTCTATGATCCAAACGACATACATAACAGGGAGGTGAAGCTGCTATCCATAGTATCAAAACGGGTCGATGTGGGAGGAGGCGCCATTCCAGTCGGACTTTCTAGAAAACCAACACTGACTCGAAGCTTGAAAGATGGACTCGATAAAGTCTCGAATATAAAAATAAAATGTAATGATTGAAAAGACAACTCTGGTGACTCACTGACTATGATAGAATTTGGAAAATTGCTTTTAGTTTTGATTGATAGGAACAGTAAATAAGGAAGAACGAGAAATGGACTGTGCAATTAAGATACTACAGAATACAGATCATCTCGGATTACTCTTATTACCATTGCTTGAATACGCCGTATTTCTCGAATTCTGTTTTATCCCTGACTACCTGGGACCTAAGTCTTATACCTATCAATTCGTTGAACAGGTAGATACACCCGCGTGTATAGCCGCGTACAGACGCGGCAGACTGCGGTGCACGCTCATTGTGCTTATTCCGATGTCGGCCAGACGTTGGATAATTAAAGGATTAATGGCAGTATCTGAACCGTTACCCTGTTTCAGCTAGCTGCATTATCATTATGTGTGCATATTTATTATTTCCAGACGATGTTTTGACATCGACGATTTGGCGGAATAATTAATTCACTGGATGTGCAAATCCATATTTCAGCATGGCAGTATTAAGCGGAAATCACATAGCGGATTCCTAGCCATCTTTAAAGGTATTCAAACTTCGTTATCAATCAACATAATAATAACAGAGATTCAAGATTCCTTCGTTTTGATACTTTGTAAAATTAACATAGCCGAATATAGTATGGCGGACTATCGAATATAGTATGGTGGACTATCAAATTGACAAGTACGTTCAACATTCAGCTATTTTTTTTTAAATTTTACTCCATTTCTTAATACCGAAGGCTACATGCTTTCATTGTTAGATATGTTATGCATTGTTACATTAAATGCTGTCCTTTTTGACTGAAATCATATTTGGAAATCAATAAATAAAGCAATGGATGACAACAAAAATAAGGAATTTCATAGGAAATATCTAGATACAAAATTATAACAAATGCATGAATCAGGGATCTCATTGCTGCTTGCAAAAGCACAAAATCGAAATACAAAAATGAGATGAATATTGTTGACAGAATAATACTCTTTTGGACAATATAGATGTGATACATTGAACAAAATGTTACAAATGGTTTTGATTGTACTACACTTGCATATATTAAGTGTTTTGAATAGATATGTTTGTGATCTTGTAGCTTCTAAAAACACTGTTAATGACTTTGATGGTGAAAATGCAATGGGGAACGGGGGGCAAACAGGTATTAAAACATTACAAAAAATATCAAAATATTTACAATTAAATGTTTTACGTTACTTAATACTTAATATGTGTGTTATTAATTATTTCAAAATCAAGATGGGAATGCTACTATTAAAAATATTTGTATCTCAAAATTATTCAGAAACATTGTTAAAAAGTGTGTTAAGTTTTGTAGTGATGAGAATATGTATGTGGTCACAGGAAAATAGGTTAATATATGAGCTCAACATGATAACGTACGAGTCAATATTTCTTTTTATGCGCGAGGCCAAAATTTTGAATATGTGAGTTCATTATGTTAAATGTGCGAGTTCAAAATGTGAGTTAAATATGTTGAATATGCCAGTTCAATATGTTATTGTGGAGTGCAATATGAAAAAAGGTTCGAGTTCAATATATTAAATATGAGAGTATAATACGTTTTAGTGCAAGTTCAATATGTTTTTGTACGAGATCCATGTTTTCTTTGTTAATTCGACATTTCAATGTTCGAGTTTAATACATTAAAGAGTGAGTTCCATATTTTTGTTGATATGCGAGTTCGTTATGTCAAAGGTGTGAGTGTAAAATATGGAAGAGTGGGTTCAGATATAATATTAAACTTAGGTCAGAATGTTGCATGTAATTAAGAGTTCAACGTTATAATTAATGTGGGAGTTCAACATGTAAATGTGCGAGGTATATATGTTAATGAGAGATTCTTTATAACAATGTGCAAGCTCTACAGGTTAAGGTGCAAATACAATATATTATTGTGCGATGTCTGTGCGAGGTCAATATGTTAATGTACGAATGGACCAGTTCAAAATGTAAGGTACAATTCATTCATGTGACATTTTCATTAAGTTAATGTGCGAGTTTATGTCAATTGTGCCAACCGTGTTGATTGTGAATAAAAATGATTCTTAAAAAAACTCCTTTACTTCTATATCTACTTTCCGCAATTTTTGCAATGCTCGCACTGTCTTTCGTCCCACCTGATAAAATAATGACGATATTGTGATTGCCTATTGCAACGTGATGTTTAGCCGTAAATGATTTGCATTGTCGATGGGCCGTGAAACAAAACGAACTAAAAGGTGAAAGTTAAACGTCAACTTTAGAAAACAAGAGTGAGGTATATGCGCATGCGTGACGAATGTGGACAGTCATTTCGATCGCTCCCAATAAGCCCCTATCTTTTAGGTCACCTGAGCTTTGCTTAAGTGACCTATTCTAATCGCTTTCCGTCCGTCGTCGTCCGTCGTGCGTAAACGTTTTAAATTTTCAACTTCTCCTCAAGAACCAGTGGATGGATTTTTTTTCAGACTTAGTCAGAATCATCCTTGGTAGATGGGGCTACAAAAGTATAAAATTGGGATTCCTACCCCAACCCCTGGGGCCAGGGCACAGGCCCCAAAGTCAAAATTAACCAATATTTCAAAAATCTTCTTCTCCAGACTCAGAGGTACTATAGTAATTTTTTCTGCATTGAAAGAAAGATCATCGGGCGGTTTATTTAAATTGTAAATTTCAGGACCCCCGAGCTACCCGTTCTCCCTTGGGGAAGGGGAAGTTTACTAGAGTTTATATAGGGAAATAACACTTTTGTTATTATTTTTGCTTGATGAGAATTATCCCTAAAAGGCTCAAAACTACGAAAACGTCACTAAGAAAAAGGTTGGACCTAAACGAACTGAAAAAAACCGGAAACTGAACCTGCAAAATCCAAACGTAACAGTTCGGACAAAGAAAACCGTGATTCTTTGGACTCCGCTCGTGATAGATTGTCCGACAACATGGGCATGCATCTAAGTGACAGAAAAGACTCCCTAGAAAATAGCTTGAATTACGAATAATATATAAACAAAATTGTACCTAAAATTTCAGAAACTGTAGTTAAGGAAGTAGAGAAAGTGATAAAGGAATTTGACTGTAGGATTTCAGGTCTAAAAATAAATGTGCATAAACGGATATCGGAGGCCCAATGCAGCGAACCGTTAAATGAAACAATAGATAGTGAAATAAAAAAGTTCAGGACGCAAATAGAACGAAAATGATGGGGATGAAAGCGATGTATCAACACCCACTTAACGATTCCCGGCTGGACAACAAAGATAGCACCGTCAATTGAACATTTGTATAAAAAAAAATGTTGCGAATGTTAAAAGAAAGTGGTGAAGTCGGAAACGCAACGGAAACGCAACGCAAACACAAAAACCGTTTAAACACGCCCCTAAAACGCATTTCATAGCAGCCATATAATGGTAACAGGGTAGTTGTGACGAACTTGTGTATTGGGTAACCTGATGTTGTCCATCAAAGAATTAAAGTAGCAGGAAAGCTTCTAAAAGTAAACATCACAATTTGTCACCGATCTAAGGAATGCAAACTTCAAAGCTATGAATGACTGGTTAAAACTTTAAAATACACACAGTAGACATTTTTTTTCCCAATATGAACAATTTATCCACAGCACTTGAAATAGTGTATTATTAGACTTTATAACAAAAATAGTTTGCAATAGCTTATTGCATTCATGAATACTGTTCTGAAATATGACTAAATTGTAATGTGTCATCCTTTTTTACCTTAAATTTGTGAAAACTTCACTTTGTATTAAGTAAACATCTGTCTAACATGGCAAAAATCGCGTAAAGACTGGTTCGATGGTAGGCAAATTCTGTAACATTTTGGGTTATTCAGGATGTCAAAAATGTAACACATTCTGACCAGATATACTATTAAAATGTAGATGTAGATGTAGATGTAGATTAGATAGAAGACACGTGGACACAAGAATTGACATGTAAATAGACCATGACTACAAGCATCCTTTGTTATGTTTCTCCCCATGTAATTTGCCTGTTCATGCCAAAAGCCCCGTACCTAGTTTGCTGTGCCTTTGGTGGTTTAGTTACCTGTACATCTGTTCCTGGCTCAGACTGGAATATATCTGAAAATATTGAAAATATAGGCATTATTATTGAACAGTTCAGATGATCTATTTCAACTATTCTTTTCTCCTTTAGCAGATACATGTACACATGTTAATACTGAACAACAATAACCGCAGATACAATTACCAGGTTATCAAGTATTTTTGTAATTTAAGTAGATTTTCACTTTATAACTGACATAAGGCTGCAATACAATGGCACTCTAACACACAGGACATCAGTGTCATTATAATCTTGTAATTATTTGATACGGACTATATGCCTTATAAATGTGCATTAATGATGTCTAAATGAGGATCTTCCACAAGTTTCTATGTCATGAGATTTATGAAATAAGTCCAAAGATTTTTCATTTTATAGAGCCTCTGACATGGTAAAATGTAAAATTAAGACAGCTTTCAAAAATCTCACATGAGATAGATACAAAGAGGGTTCTGTTTTACAACAACACATTACTTGCATATTTTTGCAAGCTGTTTGTTTGTTTGTTTGTTTGATTTTGTTCAACGTCCTATTAACAGCTAAGGTCATTTAAGGACGGCCTCCCCTGTGTGCAAGATGCATGCGTGTAGTGTATTTGTGTGTATTTTGGGAGGCTGCGATATGTTCGTGTTTGTCTCCTTGTGATAGCGCGGAACTGATGCCGACTTTATAGTGCTACCTCACTGAAACATACTGCCGAAGACACCCAGCAGGACGCCCCACCCGGTCACATTATACTGACAACGGGCGAACCAGTCGTCCCACTCCTAATTTGCTGAGCGTTAAGCAGGAGTAGAAACTACCATTTTTAAAGACTTTGGTATGTCTCGGCCAGGGGACAGAACCCAAAGCTTTCCTCACATGGGCGAACGCTCAACAAATGGCCAAAAGTGAGGCATTGTCAATGGAGACATTAGGAAGAAGAAAGTTATTTAAAAAGGAGATATAAGGTCCTAAATTTAGTCGACTCTTACGATCATGCAATTGGGGGCAGCAGGTACAATTATTACGCCCTACCTGCAGGGAACTTTTTGCAGGCATATTGTTAGGCGGTTTGTTGGCCTAATATAAAATGAAAGTTATCGATATTACCACTAACTATCTCTTGAAGCTATGACATCACAATTGAAACGACGGTAATTTTCAGCCAATCACAGCTCCACTAAGCGTTAAAACATGTGTGGTCAAAACATAGTCTGTGTAATGAGTGTTACACTCATCATACCGGGTAGTTATGTGATAACGAAAAGTTTGTTTTATGAAGGGGTGTTGTATGTAGTCATTGAGACCCATGTAAAAGATTTAAAAGAGCAAATCGGATATCTTGAAGATCCACATCCTTCAGTTTCCTTCCTTTTTATCTTTGTGTTAAGTTCAAATATTGAATCAGCAACACCTTGCTGACCTGCGTCCTGGCCAAGATGATTACATACCCATTCCATTTGATACTTGATACTAAGATTGAGTTCCTAAAATTAACAGTTATACCGCCATCATATTCTAGTAGTGTTAGTATATTTTACACAATCATTTCAAAGAGAAATTCAATTGTACTTCAAATCCTAAAAATGTAACTCTCGGAGATACGGGTGCCCTATAGTAATCACTCTGTCTGTCTGTCTGTCCGTCCACAAATTTTGTTCCTGGCTGATACCTTTATTATTTATTGACCGATGTACATGAAAATTGGTCAAGATGTTCAGTTCACAAAAATACACATTAAGGTAAAAAGTCAATTGGTATGACACTTTGAAGCAATGTTGCTTAGAATCAAACAAGGAGTCAACAGACAAAAGGTCAAGGTCATCAAGTCAAAGGTCAATGTCAAATTTTGTAGCTTTTCACTAATGAGCATTTTATGACATTATGAAGCAAAGTTGTTCGGAATTGTTCGGAACAAAGAGACACACTGAGGTAAACAGTTGAGGTCAAAGGTTAAGGTCATTAGATTCAAAGGTCAAGGTTAAGTTTTGTATCTTTTCACTGGTGAACATTTTGGTATGACATTATGCAGCAATTTTGCTCAGAATTAAACAAGGAGTCAGTTGATCAAAGGTCAAGGTCACTGGGTCAAAGGTCACAGTCAAATTTTGTATCTTTTCCCTGATGAATATTTTGTTATGATATTATGAAGCAAAGTTTGTCGGAATTAAAGAATAAGTCAACTGACCAAAGGTCAGGGTCACTGGGATAATGGTCAAGGTCATTTGGGTCCAAAGGTCAAAGACAAAGTAGATCTCTGACTTTGACCCTGGCTCTTGATGGAGGAGGTATATAAGGTGAAAAAACCCAAATCAAGGCTAACAAATGAGTATTGCACTGGTATTTACATTTCTGTTAGGCCAGCAAATATAGAGGTGGAAGGAAACAAGACTCGCATCATAGTACATGTAAAATGTATAATTTGCTTCCTTGCGATTCTTTTTGAAGCCCAAATGTCAAACGTCAAGCTCAGCTATATGGGCAGATTCCTTCTTGATGATTATGGGGGATATATTGCCACAAGACGGGGCCCTTACTGACCTGTCAGTGTTCTAGCTGCACTTTATTTCCAGGAGTGTATGGGATTTACCTGTAAAAGTACTTTAAGTTACCTTTGGCCGGTTTATATTAAGATTTTAGACATACTAAATCTGTTTCGAAAACACTTAATTTACAATCGTGACAATATTTGCTTCACTGTTCAGAATTTAAGGTAAAATGACACAATTCCAGCTGTGAAATTAAATTCCCTTTCACTTCCTTCAATTTTGTTCTCTTTCACTTCCTTCAATTTTTTTCTCTTTTTCATCCGAAAGTTGACTCAACACTTTTTTGCAGAACAGCACTTACATTTGCTTGTTGATTGTCATTTGTCCGCTTATAATTGTGCACTGCGAATGACCTATGACCTGTTTTTCCACGGCCAGTTGTTCATCTACTCCTGCATTATAAACTGAGGGAATGATTTGTGTAGAAAAACCACTAAATCCA